TTATTTGAAAACTGTTGGCTCAAGAGGTGTTCAGAAAAAAAAAATCTATAGGGGGATGTAGCAGTTGAAGTAACTTTAAAGAGCGGATTCAGTATTTAACAGAGAGAAACAGGAAAAGCAAGCCAGAGAAACAGGAAAGCACAAGCCAGGTGCAATAAATGGTGGGCCAATGGTTTGGAACTTTAAGGGAATGAGGAAAAAGAATGAGACATTTCAGAAAAAAAAAGAATGACTGGGTTGAGTTGGAACTGAATCTCAAAAACAAAATTGAAAAAGACCATCTCAAATTCATCACATCGTGACACTCCTGACTTGCTAATGTCCCTTACTTCATTTTCAAAGGCTATAAATCAATTACACTAGCAGAGAGTTCCCATCTCTCTCCCTCAGAGCACCTGGTGGATTCAAAGCACCAGAGAAGCATGCATGGCCCTTGGGCTTGTAGAGTCACCAGAACTCTACAGAAATTAGATAAGAATGGTAAACAAGGAAGAAGAGTCAAGAATGAAAGAAATGACTTCTAGATTCTAGTCTGGGTGAAGAAAAAGGCCACCAGATTGCCCAGTTTAAAAGCCCAGGGAGAGATATGGGTTTGTAAGGAAAGCTCAGTAATTGGGCCTTGAACATGGTTTGAAGCTCTGAGGGACACTAGAGGGCTCACCCAAGATAGTTAGGTAACTATAGGTTTGAAGTGCAGCATAGCAACAGAAAGGCTAATGAGAAAACTGAATCTCAAATCCACCAGACGCTCGGCCGGAGAAGGAGGCGCAATATCCTCCTGTACCAGTCAGATCTGATTTGACGGTACACGCACACAAAATTAAAAAAAAAAAAAAGAAAGAAAACTGAATCTATAGTGGCAGCAGTGTTTCCGTAATAAACAATGCAAATTAGTCTCGAATTACAAGAATGTTCTTCTCTTCACATATGCCAGGTAAAGGAAAACTTACTTTCCAAAATGTTATTTGCTAAGAAGTATCAGAGAATCAGAATGCTAGTTTCTCTCAAAGCTTCCTGGGGATACCCATTGCATCTATCTTAGAACTTCCAGATGGCTGTCAAAATGGCATCTGTTTGGCTAAACGGCCTCACAACTTTGTCATCACAGGGCTGTGCTGTGGGCTTCTCTGCCACAGCTGCTTTCTCTGGACGCTCATCCTTTTTGCTTTTGCATGTACACAAAACACCTCAAAGTTCTTGCAGAAGGCTTAAAACAAGAATTATTGCTGTTACCACCAAGACAAAGTTCCGGAAAAACCAGTCTTGGAAACAGGGATTGGAAAGGGAAAAGAAGAATATTTACTGTACTCGGGTGTATAGAAGACAACAGGCATATTGTTGTTATGTGCCATAGTGTTGACTATGACACATAACAACCCCATACACAGTAGTTCCGAACTCTGCCCTGTCCTGAGCGAATCTTACTGCCTCCGGAACACCTACCTGCATCACCCCGGTTACTGTGTCCATTGCAATGGATTTTTCCAGTGCAGTTTGTCTTGTCTAATTTCCTAGCTTCAGGTACCAAGAGTGTTGATTGTGCATCCAAGCAAGCTGAAACTGTTAACAATCTCAGTCTTGTCTCCATCTATCATGATGCTGCCAACTGGCCAAGTGGTGACTATATAATAATGAGTGACTAGAATGCAAAGGATCATAGCGGGAAAACATGGACTTGGTGACAGAAATGAAGCTGGAGATAGAATGATAGAATTCTGTACAATAAAGTATTTACTCAGTGCAAATACGTTTTATAAGAAACACAACAGTAACTGTACACATGGACTTCATCTGATGGTTTACACAGAAATTAGATTGATTACATCTGTGGAAAAGAATCATTGCAATATCAGCTGAGAACTAGACCAGGTGCTGATTGTGGAATAGATCATCAACTATTCATATGCAAGTTCAAACTGAAGCTAAAGAAAATTAAAACAAATCTATAAGAACAAAAATTTGACCTTGATTCCATCCTACCTGAATTTAAAAACCATCTTAGGAACAGGTTTGAGGCCTTGAACACTAATGAACAAAGACCAGATGAACTGTGGGAGGATATCAAGAATATCATCCAGGAAGAATGCAAAAACTCATAAGACAGAAAAATTTAAAAAAAAAAGACAGACGGATGTCAGAATATTGAACTAAAATGCCAAGAAGCCAAAGCAAAGAGAAGAAATCGGGAAGTTAAGAAGGTAAATTTCAAAGGACAGCTCAAGAAGACAAAAGAAAATATAATGAAATATGCAAAGAGCTGGAGTCAGAAAATCCAAAGGGATAAACTCGCTTGGCATTTCTTAATCTAAAGGAGTTGAAGAACAAATTCAAGTCTCAATTGGCAATATTTAAGGTTGCTAGGAAGCATAAAAAATAGATGAAAGAAGTATACAGAGTCACTGAACCAAAAAGAATTGGCTGACACAGAAGAATTGAAACAACATACAATCAAGAGGCAATGGTGTTGAAGGAGGAAGTTCAAGCTGCTTGGAAGGAGTTGGAATACCAGTCAACACCATTTCAGCAAACAGATATTGCCCTGAACATGCTCACCAGGTTGTGCCAAGAAACCTGGAGGACAACTGACTGGAAGAGATCCATACTTATACCCATTCCAAAAAAAGGTGATCTGACCAAATATCAAACAATATCACAGCAGATCTCAGAATCTGTCTCAGGGAAGGAAAATTTGAGGGGGTATTTGCAAGTTAAGTAAGGTGTGAGGAAGGTTCATGTTTATTTAGCACTTTGAAGGGGGGAAATAGAGGTTATTTCAGAAAAGGAGAGATGATACAAATCAGGAGGCAGGCACAATCGACTTTCAAAATGGCTAAATTCTGTGACTTCGTTGCTGTGTACTGTTGAGTGGGGACCAACTGGCTGCCTTGAGATAAACATTCATGGCTGACCTCCTTGATCTC